GTTTAACTGCAGAGCGGGAGGTCGCGGGTTCGATTCCCGGGGCCGGACCATTACTCAGGGTCTTAAAATGATTGAGAAATGAAGGTAGTTCCTTTGCACTGCAAGCGGCGAGACCTTCGCGTGGCTCGGATGACCACGTAAAATGGCGGTCCTGTCTCCATTAGGAGACGTAAACTACAGTGTCCCCAATTAGCACTTTCGTGCTAAATACATTGACACTCAAATAAAAAGTGCAAAGTGCAAGAATAACCACAAAAACGTTTTTTCAAAAACTAGAATAAGAGTGGAATATACATTACCATAACTTGACATGATATTATTATAACAGTTCAAATAAATTGAAGATTCTGGTTCCTTAGCAATTCAGCCATTGACTGCTAGTGAGGAAAGTTGGCATCCTCGTTATTTTGTTATATCTAAATTTTCCTTTAGTCCCATGTTCATATTTCGGTTCATTCTTGATCTATTTCCAAGGAACTCAGTTGATTCATGCAGTGTATCATGGAAGTTAACAATTTCGAAATATCACTCGTGGTATTTATGCCAAATATCACTACAAATCATGCTATCACCTATACTAATTACATCCCTATACCTCCCTATAACGGCCACCTCTCTACAACGGCCAATTTCTTCTGTCCCCAAGGTGGCCGTTGTGGAGAGGTTTGACTAACTTTCGACTGTATGTAATGTATTTTTTTTAATTCTTTTTTTAGGCTTTCCTACAATCCAGCTTGACAGTAGATGTTTTTGCCGATTGCATTCATGCGTAATTGAATTTGAACAAAAGTTTTTGTTTCGCTCCAGACAAAGGAGTTTTTTGGGGTTCATTGGTTAACGAACTAAAGCTCTATAGGTCTAATGGAAAATGTCGTTTTCGGCTTCACTCGGTTTTCTTTTTGAATGGTTATAATAAATTGCCTCGTCTGCCTTTATTGCACTCTCCCTAAAATCAGACAAGTCAAGACTGTTTCCAGTTTACAGGAACGTATAAGCAGGATTAAGTATTGAGTATTCATGAACGCATGACTAAATGTCTGCCGCCTTCGATCTCCTTTTCTTGATGGCAAAAAAGATAATAAGTTTGTGGAGTCTTCACTAGTTTGATGCACTTCTCATCAAACAGACAAAAATCAAGTGCCAGTGTCGAATAATTTCAAGACTGTCTGAGGTGGTAATCAATCTAAACAGTAGCATGAGATAAGTTTTGATTTTCGCTCCTATAAACTTTGTCTGGAATCGGAGGCCAAGGCGGAAAAGATTCATTAATGAAAAAGGAGATAAACAACATGTTGTCATCTGCATATCTACTGATAGTGAGGTAACAAGTTTCGAAGATTTTGACAACATGATAAAATTATTGTTTTGTTATGGACAGAAGTTAACGGACTGCAAAATTGTCCGACTTAAACAAACTCGAAAGGGGATAAAGCTTGGTAAAGCACTGGCTCGCTCAAGGCACACGTTATATTAAATGCTAGAGGTACAGGGTCGTCGTCTCTTAGTTAGTCTGGTCCAAGTTAACAAGAGGGCACAGTTGTAAGAACTCTTGACTGATCCAAATCTCTCTAATCTTTGATATAATTATTATTGCTCGTAGATTAAACCTCGCAGATTATATAAAAAATAACACGAAAGGTAATTCAAAATTGTACAATAAATTACGCTCTGCTGTTTATAGTTTTGCATCATAAGAACTTGATCGGCCAGTACTGTTCTTTTCATATACAGAGTCCATACACATAGACACACATGTTTCAAGATGGCATAACTTAGTATAAAATTTGAAAATAAAAGAATCTTCAATCTTGACCCCAGCATCTTCAATAGTGAACCAGAACCGAAAACGTCCTGTTCGCGTGTTCGTTTAGTTCTGTAACAAACGGAAAGCAAACTAGCAGTTCAAAAAAGCGTGATTATACACCTCCACTGTTAAATATATGGGTGAAAACAGTATAACGTACGGTTTTACACGAGTCGTAGCTCACAGTCTAGTTTAGCGCGTGGTCAGAAAAATTAGTAAAACGAGGGAAAAGATTGCGCGCATGAAGGGTTCTAGGAATTCTCTTTCACTGTTTCTCGGTCGATGGGTTACAATTAGTTTTTGTCTTTCTGTCCTGCTGCTTCTCATAAGAACGCTAGTTACGCGTAAAATGGGCAACAAATCTGAGAAAATTACATCTAGGTGGTTGGATATGTTGTATAATTTGATGAGATTAAAGGAACCTAGCTGTTTTTGGGCAGGTTTTCTCCTAAGCATTTCAGTGTCGTTCTTGAAGAAATTCATCAGGCTAGTGAAGTTAATATCTATTTAAGACTTTGGCTATGGTTTGAGAACGTTTAAATGGATATTTCAGTGTCATACTTGTTAATAACTTTGAAATTTGCCGTGGAGCAGCTTTTCACTCTTACGCGTACGTACAAAGCGGGCCAATATTAATCCTTCTGCCCGACTAACAGAGAGCGAAACAGACAAGCTCACCTGCTTGGCATGAATCACACTCGCATATATTCTCTTCAGGGCGGCGGTGATTGAGTTTACAACCATTTTTTAAGAACCAAATTACAGCGCTGACGATGATGAACGCCGAAAGCATCATGAATCCCATCATGGTTTATTCTCTGGAAAGGACGTGAATGAATTTCAAATGACACTACATGATATATAAAAACTTATTTAACGTCAATCAAAACTGCACACCCAATCGTGCCAATTGGCCACCCAATGAATGCCTGAGGCTAATAGGAGAGTTCAGCAGCCCCATCTTGTGGCGGAGTTTTCTGGGGGCTGTTCTTTCAACCGTTGTAATTTAATACCTCTTTGTTCTTTTCGAAGGCCTTTCTTTTCTCTTTTTACCCAGCGCAAACGCTAGCCTGAGAATACAGCCGACCTTCGTGACGTCACCTCTGTTCGTCGCGAAATGACCTGTAGTGAATGGCTCTTGTCAGAATTAAAAACATTCGAGGCTCTTTTTCAAAACAGTACAAAAATGCAAGAACAGTAGACTTTCTTAAAGTCCGTTTCGTTGAGGCCATATATATTGTCGCCCATATTTGTCGTTTTGTGGGCAAAGCTATGGAGATATGTAGAAACATAGTTGCCGCCCGCACGCGACAGACATCTGTTTGGATTTCAGTGGAAAGAATAGAAGGTGTTTGTTAGAAGATCTCAATCCCTAAGCTCTGGTTTACGTTTAAAACCGGTCCGTATTGCCCATATAGAACGCAAGGGCTTTCCACTTAGCCTAAACACACCTTTGTGAGAACTAAATGGGATCAAGAGAGTTGAGAATCTGGGTCATTTTGTCGATCCGCTAAGTCACCACGCATGAAATTCATCGGAATTCAACCGCTTACTATAATCGCACATTGTGTTCGTAGCCAAATGTTTCTTCCTAACAATATATCAATTGATATATCATAAAAGGGCTATTAAACGCTTGCGTTGGCAAATCGCATTCAAGTGCAAATGACAGGGAAATGAGTGGATAAGAATGTTCTAGAAGTTAGCCCCGAGACAATACAATACATGGCAGTAATTATAAATGTGCACACTTTCATTACTTTGAGCAAAAAAAGCAAGTTACAAGATAAACCCTTGACTCCAAAATTGTTTCGTAAAGTAGTCCGGTCCCGTTCAACCGCACATGACAAGTTACTCTTTTAACGTTTGAATTATTGTTATTTTAGTTTCCGAGTGTTATCGCTTACAGTTTGAGGCTTAAGTTAAGGTTTTTCGACAAATTCCAGAGGTATAGACACCAAACTCCCTAAAAACAACTCCAAGACAACGAACACCATTTTCCACTCCTTTGGCACACCTTGGTCTCGTTTCCTACCCGGTATTTCTTCTTACTCCCTTGCAAAGCACAACGTTCAACAGCGAAAAAGAAAAGTGTCACTATCAAACGTATTAAGGCAGGTGGGTTTGTTTACATAGCAGGTAGTTACGCTTTGTTATACTCAAGCCAGCCAAGGTTTAATGAAGTCTGAAAGGGCTCGTAAACGAAACGGCAACCTTGGCAAACAAATGCAATTGTTACGATTAAACCAATCACCCCTCCCACCCAGTGCCCTGCACACTTCATGACTACATGCAGCTAGACTCGCAAATTGTGTTCTAGGAGCAGTAAAACACTATTTGACGTTTCCTGTTTTTCAAGTATTTACTCAACACTGATAAAGTGTTACCAGCCTTGTCTCTAGTAAAGGTAACTTCAATTCCCTTTACGTCGTTACGCCTGTTCTTCAGGTAGTGTCCATTACAATGGACGTTCTGCCCTTCCAGCCGTGAAGCAAAGTCCAGCTGTCAGCTTTTTATAAACATGTCTTGGCCCTTATCAGCCCGAGTAGGCTCAGTTTACCTAAAGCCCGCTTAAGATGTGCTTTTCTATATTGACATCTGTTTGGCGGTCTTTCCGATGCACTTTGGCTTTTTTTTTAGTTTTAGTATTATTTTGGCTGACGCTAGGAGTATGATTGCTAATAACCGTTCGCTTACATGCCTAACAGTAGGTTCATCAAAGCTTCATCACAGGGCGCAAACCAGCAGGCTGCCAATTAGTTTCCTAAGGGTAATAGAGTGATACAGCAATGCAACGGTGTCTGTCGCTTACGATTCAGAACTGCAAGCCCCCAGAAACGTTTCGCTAAGAATGAACGCCACAAGATGCGGAGATAAATAATTCAATTGACCGCTACTTCATATACAAATTAGCAGCGCATCTATCGCTTGGCGTTTCCTAACCCCCTGCTAAGAGCATCAATGCGGTTCTGTCTAATACGAAAGAAGCTCGCCCCATAAAGCCCTCGGCACATTAAAACCACATAATTTGTCAACAACATCCCCACGTTTACTTGGCTTGCAAGATCTCACATTTGAAGCTTCGGAATGCTTAGCATTCGCTCCGGCCGGCACGAGGAAAACAGCCTTAGCACCTACAGGTTTTCTTGCAAGGAAGATGAACGAAATTTCAGTCTGTTGCCGCTCAGTTTCACGACTAGAAACACAGGTAAACCTGTTAAGCAGAGCGATGTCCAAAGTTGCAAAGGTGGAGTCCTCGAAAGGACAGACGGATCGGGAGAAAACAAGGAGTATCAGCAGAAGCGAAGATGAAGATAGCACCAGGGAGTCCAAAGAATCTCGCAATCTCAGTGAAACCTTGTTTGTGGCTGTAATAGCTCAGGGTATATTAAGCGTACCTTCAAAACGGACGACCCTTAGTTCCATCTACAACTTCATCTGTAAACGATTTCCACACTTCGACAAAGAAAAGGGCCCCGGCTGGAGAAACAGTGTATGCCATAATCTGTTTAGTAATGACTGTTTCGAGAAGGCGAGCAGAGCAGAGAATGGAAAGGGCCATTACTGGATGGTCCACCCAAAAGATTTACCCGAGTTCTCAAAAGGAAACAGTTATCAACGGAAGACCTAGAAAACCAAGAAGACCACGCTGCAGTCTTTCCATGAGCTGTGACACAGACATGGACTCGCTTGGACTGCCAATACCTCTGCAAGCTTATTCCCGTATCCCCACACTAAAGCCGTCTTATAGTTTCGACTTTTCCAAGCCTCACCGGCTCCTTCTCAGCCTTTTTCCCGCCCATTTGGAGTAACCTCTTCGAGGTATGAATACTTCAGTCGCGCAGAGTCAGAGGCACCTGGATACTCCTTAAACCAGTTCCGAGGATTCTCAACTGCACCTCCACCATACGGTTTCCTTTGGCAAGACAACTCAGCCTTCAGTAATTACGGTACGCGGACAATGCAGTGGGAGTCAATTATGCTTAGAACTGCACAAGCAATAGATATTTACTGAAGTAATATAAGAAAGACCTAAGCTTGTAACTACAGTAAAACCTGTGTACAATGGTCACCCATGGGAAGAAGCAAGGTAACAGTTATATACAGGGTGACCGTTATATACAGGTCAACTTTGCAGTAAATATAAGGCAACTGAAAATTTTAGGCAGTTGGCGGGTGACCGCTATATACAGGGCTGTTATATAAAGTACAGTCCACCGTGAATTTGGCGGGTGTTGGATGGCTTTAGAGGCAGTTATTTGGAGAAACAATGAAAGATGACTCTTTAATTTGAAGTTTATAGTTCTAATCTAGTAGGATAATAAATCAAAGTGTCAAAGTTGTTTCTCATTTAAGTGTTTGTGGACTTAAATGTTACGTGGGGCGGTAAGAAGTATAAGTAATAGCATGATTTGTAGTGATATTTGGCATAAATACGACGAGTGATATTTCGAAATTGTTATACGTAATTTCACGAGCCGTTAGGCGAGTGAAATTTGAGACAATTTTGAAATATCACTAGTGGTATTTATGCCAAATATCACGTACAAATCATGCTATTATTTGTTAATACTACTACCCGCGAAAGGTTTGTACTTTTCACTTGTAGGTATTTCAAATTAAGCTGAAATACCACTGCTATAAGCCAATCAAATTGCAGTATTTTCATGTAGTAGAATAACAGAGGAAATCACCGCCTCGAGTCATCCTTAGAAAGTTTGGCGTTGACAAATAAGAGTTTCGCGCCTGACTACTGCTCGTTAAAACAACATGGTGGCCGCTTTCAGCGTGGATAAAAAGAGTGTTTACAGGTTTACAAAATAAATGGCCGTCATGACATCGCTGGTGTTTCAAATAATTACTTATTTAAATATTGACTTGAAAACACAATGCTGGCGGTGATAGAAGTCATGAATCAAACAAAGGTTCCATCATTAGCTTTGACAGGGTATGAAAAAGGAAAATAAACACTCGAGGCGATCCATTCAAATTGCTCAGCGGTTTTGCATTACCATATTTCACCAAGCATGCACAAGCGTTTGGAACAAAATACATGAAGTACATAAAGGAGGCAGCGTGGCCGAGTAGTTAGAGCGCTGGACTTCGAATTTGGAGGCCACGAGTTCAAGTCCCGTTCTGACCGTTAGCTGCATTGGTTAATGGTAGTCCCCAGTTCAAACCCTCGACCACGCTTGTAAATAGCCAGCTGGTTTGCCTCCGGCCAGTTGGGATTCTCAGCCCCGTTAAGTTCAATTTGAATAATTTGTTTCAGTCATTTGCTCGGCCCCACTAGCATTAGTGCTATAAATACTGCCGAGGGTGAATAACGGAATTATACAGAGATCAAACAATCACTGTTTAGAGACAAAAAACAGGGTATGCACAATGTGCGAGCCAGCGAGGCGGCGGGGCACGCGAGGCATTATATCCTGTTGTTGGAATGAATCATTCATTAGATTATTCATCATGCGTGCTCGTGCTCATGCATTATGAATTTTATTCGTAGATGGCAAACAGACGTACTCGATATCTTTTAGAGCCAACGAAGCAAGGTTTCACGCTTCACACGGTTCCATGCGGTGAAAGAAACCGCTGCTGCTATCGTTGTTTAGGAAAGCTTAGTCAATGTCTTTTCGAGCCAACGAAGCGAGGTTTCACGCTTTACACGGTTCCACGCGGTTAAAGAAACCGCCACTTCTATCGGTGTTTAGGAAAGCCTTCAATCTAGTCTGTCACCCCGGGGGGGCACTTGGGTATTTTTTGGGTGGGTATGTGCCGCCCGGGACTCCAAAATGGCACCCCGTTCTGGAAAAAATTTCCCCTAAAATTGATACCCCGTTCTAGAAATGGGCCAATTTTTTATACCCCGTTCTAGAATTCGCCCCAAAACTGATACCCCGTTCTAGAAATGGGCCAATTTTTTATACTCCGTTCTAGGGTGCAACAAGAGTACAACGGTTTGCTTGTTAACGCATTGAACCGTATTTTTAAAAGCAATCTGTCCTTGAATACTTTCAAATGGCTACCAACAAAAATGGAGCTTTCGTGCGTTCGAAATATTATACCCCGTTCTAGAAAACGCCTCTGAAATGGATACCCCGTTCTAAATCAGGAGCTTCAAAATCACGACCCCTTTGGGCGGCACATACCCGTATATGTAATGTATGGGAGTACCCCCGGGTCTGTCACAAGAAAAAAGATTGGCTGACCCTGCTGGTTGTCAACTTTGGATCTCTAGAAAAGAGATCTAATCAGCTAAAATATTAAGAACCAAAAAACGAGAAGTCCTAAGACTACTGCATAGAGACTACTGTACTTTTTAGAACAATTTGGCCTTTGGCTCGCAAAATTTGGGCTGGCTCGCACGCCTCGCAGCTCTCGCATGCCTCGCTGCCTCGCGTGCCTGGCTACCTCGCGTAATTGCATGAGGGTTGTGGGCTCCTGCTTCCGGTTGAACAATATGCTGGGCAATGTACCTTGGAAGGAATCGACCAATCAAATTGATTGTTCATACTCTACTTACACGCCAAACGTCTCATTTGACCTGACTTTGGACTCAACGGTAGCCGGTGCAACACGGAACTGAAGAGAAGACACTTAGTTACGCGAAGAAATATGGGGTGCTTTTAAGGCCTGGCTATCTTAATCGTTGTATGCACAATAATAATATGTGCTTTCCAAAATTCTGTGTTTCTTTCTGTTAAAGAGAACCAGAAACGTTTCGTCATCGAGGATAAATGAAGACTTGAACGGACATCATCTTGAACCCGGGAATCCAGTGGAAATCAACACAGAGTGGCCTCACTTGAATCGAAGAAAACAACCAATCGAACATAGCGAACAACCATTCAATCAGGTAGCTTTATGACCATAACATAGTTTGAACAATTGTTACAACAAAGATTATACATTTTGTATTTCCAGCATAGCGCCTAATTTGTACGCGTGTGGGTTGTTCTAAAAATATGGGGACAATGAGTGATGTTTTCTTATTATTCAAATACAGATCTTAAAACTAAAACTGTACGTCAACTTGTTTTGCTCAGTTTTAAAGAATATACATTATTTTTGTTAGTATCGTTTTTCATTTTTTCATTTTCGTCTAGTAACTTTCAGCGGTGGTTGTGAAACTTGTCTGAGGTACATATGTCTTCTTTAAGTCGCTGAGTAGCAAATACAAGAGCATCAAGAAAGATGAACTGGATTTAACTGATCAAGAGGCAACCACTTCAAAGGAAGATTTCCGGTCACCTTCTCTAATTTTAGAACACTTGTTACAAACTTAAGCACTAGCGTTTTTTGATTTAGTGGAAATACGTACGTGTAATTGACGAAGCCAAGTAGCGCGGAAGGGGGATGTAGCATGCACTTCCTTGCGCATGTGAGTCTGTTATGTCTTCTTCTATCTTCGACACTTCGAGCAGTTTACTTTCAAACTCTGAAAACACACTTATAAAGGCAATTGTTAAAAATTGCCATTGTAGTGCATTTTAGAGTTTTAAAAGTAAAATGCTGTAAATGTCGAAGATAGAAGAGTGTTCCTGAGTAGAAGAAAGAGGTTCACCTATGAGTTCGTTGAGAACGCCGAGTTCCAGATTAACATTAAGGATTATCGCTGAAGATGATTCAGATGATTTGGCTTAGTGATGCGTGAATAGACAAAAAAGAAGTCACACTGTGTATGCCATTTTCTATTTTCTCCACTGTACTTTAAAAATTACCTTATAGAGTTTTAAAAAAGAATCACAGCGAATTAAAGTTAGCCGTAGAATGAGGCGGTTTTTTTTAATATTCCAACCAATCTCATCAGTTCGAAGGGAACTTGTCTGGTTGAGACCTTATTTCCACCCACAGCTTTCATTTTCGTTCCACATCAGCCATTCTGGGATTCCAGACTAAAAGCCATTCTGATCTTAATGCGATGGAAATGAAAAGAAGTTGCATGTTTTATATAGGGTACAGGGTATTTTGAATATCAATAAATATTAATTACACTCACTTGGCCATGTTTGAACATCACAACATGTCATCACGCAAGCACTACTGTAGCCAAGCTGTCACGAACAGGTTTCAACTCACTTAGGCTGTTTTTTTCTGTTTTTTTACAGACACAAAATGTTTTTAAAGCATTTAAAGTATATTGTAAAGTTTATTCTAAGAATTTCTGACAGATTTAATTTTTGTAATATCCATCCATTACGTGACACGTGACCACGCCCTCTTATAGAAAAATTAAACATTGCTTCTTACTTTCAGGTTTCAATCTGTCTGTACCGTTAGTCAATAATGTTGTAAATTTTTTAATACATCTTTTTATCTCTTTAAAAGCCCTTAGTCAATATCTTTTTTTTCTTAAGCATCAAAGCGTTTTAACAACGGGTTATGCAGCAGTAAGCGTCGACCTAGGTGCATCCACATCGCCCAGTGCACACGACATGCGACTTTCTGCATTTACAGTGAAAACTGTTCCGCAGCCAGTGGTGTACTGGCATGAAAACCAACTCCAGACAAGCCTCCGGGATTGAATTGAAGGTCATGAAGACAGAGACCAATAGATATTCAGCCAGCGTGTAGCCGCTGTCTCCTCCGGTTTCGGAAGCACTGGTTCCGGAATGTGTGCCTGGTGCAAAACCATGGTGTAAAATAGTACTGGCCACTTCAGTTCAACAGGTCCTGTAAATACCGGGACACTTTTTTCCTTACACGACATCAGCTAACTGTAGTTGCTGCATAATTCTTCGGGCCGGGAATAACAAGGGTGGTCAGTTTTGTTGGAAGGCCTCAAGCTCGCATAACGCTTTGTTTTACTTAGGTCTCTTTCACTGGACGAAAAAACGGATTTACCTCTATAGCAAATTTGGAGCAAATCATCTGCAAATGCCACATTTGCTTAATTTTGCTCAATTTTGCCACATGACATAGGACCAACTTTGCCATAATTTTGCATCAGTGGCAAAGGTGGTAAATGCCGAATTTGCCTCAAATTTGCCCCCTGTGTGTAAAAACAAGGATAACCTTTACTTTATCAAGGCATTTACAGGGTGTCAAACTTGATAGCAAAACTGACATTTGTCAGGTTTTTGCCCAAATGGGCAAAAAAAAAGCGATCGAAGATGAATTTTGGATGCTTTTGCTCTCTATAGCAAATTCGGTCAAAGTAGTAATTTGCCACATTTTTGCTCAATGTAGCAAAAGTGACCAAAACTCATTTTTCAACAGTTTTGCCGAGGATAGTAAATCTGAGCAAAAATTCACGTTTGCCACTGTTTTGCTCAGGGTAGCAAATTTGGCCAAATACCACTTTTTTTCTCAAGTTTGCTCAGGATGGCAGATATGATCAAAACAGTAGTTTCCCATACTTTTCCCCATTGTAGCAAAGTTGATCAAATATCAGTTCTTCTGTATCTTTGCTCAGGATGGCAAATATTGCCATGATAGCAGTCTTCCATACTTAAAGTAAGGTAAACAAAGTTGATTAAAATATCACTTTTTTACACTTTCACTCAAGATAGCAAATTTGATCAAAACATCATTATCCAGATGTTTCTTATTTTTTATTTTTTTGGGGTAAATGACTCACAAACAATTAAGACACCAAACAAAATTTCAAGAATAAAATGACTTTATTATCTTTAATATACACTGTACAATAAAAAGCAAGATAAATTAAAAGAAAGTTCCATTGGCCTCTGCAGGGCACTGCATGTACCACAAAATATATGCCTTTAAATAAAAAGCACATACAATGTGAAACTATCTAAATTCATAAGTGTAAAAGAATGTACATTGGGTTTGAAAGTGCAAGTCAACACTAGCTGGTTCATAATTATCTAAGGTTGGTACAGGTAAAACGTAACTCCATTTGAGTGGTATACTTCAAATATACTCTTTCTAGATTCAATTGATACTATTGGCAAATGGTTGTACGATGACAACAAGTACACATCACTCCCAATGTAGATGTGACATCCTTACTAACGGACAGAACATCAACCACAGGAAATAAAATTAGCCTCAAATTATTATGATAAGTGATATTCCTCTAATTATTATTTATAAGAACTTGTTTTCATCTGATAAATATTATCCACTACCCAAAATAGGCAGTGAATAATATCATATAGTGTACCTAGTGCTATTCACTTACCCCAAGGGGAGATACATCTGTATGATTCATTTTTAACCAAATCAGTTATATAAAAATATTTCTTGTACATAAAATGAGTTACTATGCGAAAGCTCTGTGCATTTCTATGATTTGGGTACGACTTTGATATATTTCTACCCAGCAGTAAACACTTATAAGGTTCATTTTGTCACCTTTTTAGCATGTACATGTATTTTATTTTACAGGTGCTTTATTTACTGCTAAACCTCTAAAACTAGCATGAAATGACACCCCAATTTTACTCTCATCCTATAGGTAGCCAAAAGCTTTTCAAGTTATGAAAGCAAATCTGCTATCCACTGATTTGGTTAAATACTTGTATTATTATATGACCATAAATAATTTATTACATTTGTTTTTTTTACTAAAATCAAATTATTTGCTAAAAATTTGAGCAATTTTTTTCTGATTCACATGATCAGCTGTTTTGCTTGCAGTATTGGACTGATTAAATATCCAAATTATCCAAACACAATCTATACACTATGAAAGCTCTGCAGAACTTCTTTAATTCATCATCATTATTATTGTTATTGGCATGCAGGTGATTAAAATTTAAGCCATGCTTATCAAAAAACTGTTATCACACACTGTATTTTTTTTTTTTTTTTTTATAAAACATAACTGCACTCTTTTTTTCATAAAATATGCCAAGAACAAAATAGGATCATGGCATTTGGAGTCCAGTAATTACTCTACTATGGGGTGTATTGGCTAGATTTTAGTCCTCGGAGTGGCACTTTTTTAAGGCAGTGCTTAGGGTAGCCCTAGGATTTGTCACCACTGCGGAAAGTGGATGCAGATGTATCTCCAATTACATATGTTGGGTGAATGGACACGATGACTGAAAATACAGCTGCATTTACAGGCTACTAGATGGAAGGTTTTAAAATTCAGTAAAGTTGCCAAGTTACAGAGTGATTCGGTGCAAACTAGCAAGGACAGCTCTGCAAAGATGGCAAATTTTGCAGACATTTGTCTGGTAAGGGAAATTTTGTGGCTCCACCATACCATACAAAGGTCATTGAGATTATGTGACTTTGTGTCAACACTTTATTTCAAATCGGACTAATCACAAACAGCGTAAGAACCTAGCCAATCACAAAATGCTGACATACATGCATGTCTTTGTGACGCAGTGAGATTCAAACATGATATTGTGCACTAATTCTCAGACGGCATGCTCTATACAGAAGGTTTAGAGTGTCTGCAACACAGGCAAGATCTTCATTGGATTGTGACAAATCACTTTGAGATTTGGTAATTTACCTAGTTTTAACGTGGCTCCTTCCCATGGGTGTCAAAGGATATTCACTTACTACATTGTAGGTCTTCATCAAAACTCAAAAAATTGTGCAATTGTCTACTGAGTAAATATGGTTCTAGGAACTTAACTGAAAAGGAACTGAATCATGATGCATGTCAACTTCAACTTGAGTGTTATTATTATTTTGTACATTTTTATCTAAAATGTCTTCTTCTTTTCTGAATGTTCTTCGAAAAATTATCTGTGTTATGCTTATGATCAAGTTCCTTTTTCTATTGTAAGTGGTGGGTGCCAGAGCAAACTCAGGAGCATCGTCTGGTGCTCCTTGATTTGATGCTGGTCTCACTGTATGCTCTATTACCATTATTTTCACTTCATTGACTTTGACACCATGCAACTTTGCGGTCCAACTGGGCCATTAAACCATTAACCT